GTTGCTGGAAACTTTTATACCATTTTTGTTGGTGGAAAAGTCAGTGCCCCTGGGCAATGGCAATCAAACATGGCAATGGAAATCCCACACGCGATTTTCCCATTCAAACCTCCATTTTTAGATATCCAATTGCAACGTTTGAGTACTGGAGGATAGTCGAGATTTCCAGTCTGTTTGTCGGTAGACTGGTTAGTCGGGTAGGTCAAAACTCAGTTAGGACTGGGATTAACCCCTTGGGATATGCTCATCCTTCCATTAGATCCATTACCCTCTGGTAAACATACAAAAAACTATGGAAAGATCCAGCATTTTGTAGCAGGGTACATCAACTATTTCGACTGGACCATGGCTTCAATAGCTATGTTTGACATAACCAGAGGGTAGGGATTCAGATTAACCCACCAGCTTTGGATTCCCCAGCACGGGATGACCATGGCCCGACCACTAGGGCCCCCCATAAAAATCCCATGCAACTTGACCTGCCGGCACGCGAATGATGATGGGTTTTAATAGCGTTGATGGGGATAGTCAATCATGGTATACGAATGGTCATAGAATTGGATGATGGGAACATTTACAGGAAACCCCTATATTTGATGGTAAAAAACATGGTTTCCTGTAGATTTTCCCTTAAACCAATCCATTGAAATGGGATATTTTCATGGTATACGAATGTGTCATATGAATGGCACATGAATGGCATATGCATGGAATAACTCAACCATGGCCCATGTTTGCCGAAAAAAATGCCGAATTTTGGCCTCGGGTCCTGAGGCTTTAGAGCATGCGCAGGGCAACGAAGGTGCTGGTGGTTTCCGATTTCTACATTGTTTTTCTATGGTATGAGGAATCTATTATGACATATCCCATTGTATACATAGGTAGTATAAACCACATTGTGTATACTGTATATAGTTGGAGCCATTGCCATATATACATGATATACTGTATTTAACATATCATGATATATCTACTGTATTCCATTAGTTATATCCCATCGATCATGTATACATGATTGCCTGGGTTTATTTTACGCGGACTATGAATTGCGGGTTGCCCCCCCAGAGTAGTCGAATAAATTACGAGCAAATTTGGTACTTGGCACCTCCCTAGCAATAATCTGGAGTCAATGGGAATTTCAGGATCCTAAAATGGAGGTACTGTACCATATAAGACTATATATATTTTGTGGGGATATTCCCTTACATAGGCCATTGATGGAGGTTTACCAACCCAGGGATAACATTACTTCCATGGAATTCCCAGAACTGATGGGAACACGGCCTGCTAAGTTCAATGGGAATTTCAGGATCCAAAAATAGAGGTACTGTACCATATAAGGCCATATTTGGGTGTATATTCCTTTACATAGGCCTTATATATGGTAGGTACCTCCATTTTAGGATCCTGAAATGGCCATTGATACCAAGGGTGAGCCAGGCTCAACTCGAAATTTTCCCGAACGAACCCATCCATTGAAGTTTTATTTCCAAACAAAACGTGATTTTTCGTGGGAAGCAATTGGAGTTTGGAAGGTGGTTTCCTGACGAAGCCCAGGGGGGGACAGGACAAAATTCGCTGTCAGGTGCCCAGGTGCCTGGATGTTGACTCAAACCAGCTGGCGAAGAAGACAAAAACCCCAACATCCAGCTGCTTTTTGGGTTTTTCATCGCCCAGTGAAAAATACCATGTGCACCAATGTTTGTTTTCAAGATCGTTTTCGTTGGTAGGTTCATGTCGAAAAAAATGATCAACTCTATGTCCCCTCAGTTGATCACATACCCAACATCCATTCACCAGCAGAATCGCTTAAGCTATTTTCCATATTTTCAGTAATATTAACAAATAGCAGAACAAAGTTGATCACATAGCCATTGACCATTAAATCCATTAAGATGAACATACCCATTAACATCCCTAAACACTCCTAAACTAAGCTTATCATATACCCATTAACATAAGTAATAGCTATTCCTTCGCCGCAGGTAGCTCCTTTGTCTTCGAGAGCGTGCCCAAGGAGAGCTCCGCGCACGCGCGCCACGGCGCCGACAGCGTGGAAGAGAGCGAGGAGGCGGCCTCCATTTTTGGCTTGGCGGCCTCCATGGAGTGGCCATGGGTGGAAGATTAGATGCTTTTTATAAGGTTTTTATATGGCTTAATAGGGATGTTAATGGGATAATCATGGGATGGAGGGTTTGAAAATCCAATCCTAAAGTAGAAATTGAACACGTTCTCTACCTTTTTGGGCAGGTACTATGGTAGAAATAGTGGAAATAGCAATGGCAACGGTCAGTGGCTATTCCTGGGCTTCTCTGTCAGATTAACGCAGGGCATAGCGTTACATCATTGGAATCCTTGGTATATCCCTTTAAGTCGGGGGCATGAGCCGGAGGAGATGGTAGTCGTAACACCTTTCAATGGCAGACCTTGAATACCTATAAATGAACCGTAGGAATTCCCAATCCCTTCCCCTAATCTTCCATACCCCTCTATCCCCTCTAAACCATTGTTTGGTTTCGGATTTCTTCGATCGTTTTTGGAGGTCCAAATGGAGGGCATTTTTACGTTCGACTAGATGATTCATTTGTCAAACCATGATCTACCATGATATCTTAGCCAACATTATAAATGACTGCGATTGAAAAACGATCGCGCACTACTGAGCCGCATGTCCCCGCAGCCTCAGGAGGTGACGGATGACGAGGACTAGACAAGGCCGTTTTTTTTTTCCGGCTTTTTTTTGGTGCCAAGTCACTTGGATTTTTGAGAAAAGTACCCTCTGGTAAACTAACATAGCTATGGAAAATCACAATTTTTAATGGGAAAATCCACTATGAATGGCCATTTTCAATAGCTATGTTGACATAACCAGAGGGTATCAGCGGATCGGTGGGATATTTGGGACTGTTGACCTGCTCAGCAAAGCAGGCGACGCGCCAGTGACACTGAGAGGAGCCCTCCGCAAGTCGGGCATTGCGTCGTAGGTGGCTGCCGGCCGCAAGGTGTCAGGGGTTTGGTTGTGTGGATTGAGAGGCACCACTGGTACCATGCCACAAAGGTACCCTGTGGTAATTTAACATAGCTATTGAACATGGTAATTTATAGTGGATTTACCCAGCTAGAAAATGGTGGATCTTTCCATAGTGTTTTGTACGTTTACCAGAGGGTACCTACCTCTTCCAAAACTCATGCCTTAACAGGTCAACATGGTTAATCCAGCAGGGGGGAAACTTGCTAAACTTTGGGGCAGAGAGCTCTCTGGCTTTCAACGACTTTCAAAAGTACCACAGCTGTACATGTTTGATCCAAGTGTAAGGAGATGGCGAGTTCGGGGCATTTCGGCGGTCGAAGGAAGACTTTTGACCTTGTTCAGGTCATGAATGGTCTCCCTGCTTGGAAATTCCTAGATTGGTTGGTTTCTTGGATCATTTCCTGATTAATGGAGACATATCTTATAGTTATACACGCACACACACACACACATATATATAATATAATATTATACAATATAATACAATATAATATAACATAATGTATGCCTCTCAGTGAGAGCGGAGAAGTCTGCGACCGTCGGCAGCTTTCCGGTGACCCGACGGGCCGTGTTGAAAGCAAAGGTTCACAATCGCGCCGTTGAAATTCTGAGACGATGCGAGATTAGTCATATATTATCCCACTATATGGTGGGGAGATTATCATATGTTATCATATATTATCATATATGATCCCACTATATTCAATGATAGGGAAGATAGCGTGAATATTATATTCTGGTACTTCCATAAGGGAGTATATCCCACTTGTCAGTGATCAATTCCGAATGAATATTCTTCACCTGCAAAGTCCTTTGCTTCTCAGGGCCTTACATGTGCCAATGCTCGCGCATGAGCGGGGCTTCCCTCAAGCCGTACAGTTGTCATCGGGCCTTTTGCCCCTGGCGCAGCGTTGCATGTCTTGAGGATGTCTGAGGGCACCAATTCATGGAACATGGACTTGCGTGTATATATATATAATATATATCACACACACACACATCTACATACATACGTACATATATATATATATACATATATATATATGTATATATAAGGGGGCCATACCAAATATGAAATATTAGCAGTGGAATTCCCTAAATGGTGGATTAACCAATGGAGAAATGGTGGATTCACCCAGTGATTGATACCAATAGGATATGATACAAAGCGGCAATATGTGGTACCCTCTGGTTATGTCAACAGTTAGCTATTGAAAATGGCCATAGAAATAGTGAGTTTTCCTATTAAAAATGGTGATATTCCATAGCTATGTTAGTTTAGCAGAGGGTAAACCTCATGCTATAAAACTGCAATTCGGGATGCCTATTCACCACCTATTTCCGGTGAAATTGGGGACCTGTGGGGTGAATATTGAGCACCTGGGTTCCCCAAAGCCGGGGATACGGGGTCAAGTCCTTTTTTGTACCCCAAAAACGGGATGGTTAGTATCACAAACAAGAAATTATAGGTCAGTAAGGTGCAACGTGCCACGTGCTTCGCGGCGCAAGGGGCAGTGCTTTTGAAACCGAAGGCCAGATACAGAGTTTGTGGTTGAAGTCTGTGAAGCTTCGGAGAGGCGCAGGTGTCGGTGTGAACCATCAGGACCGAGGATTAAAGTCAGTTGTACGGTCCACCCTGGATTAATATTCACCACATGGGATATATCATATATATATATACACCATAGTGTATCAGTATAATATAATATAATATATTATATATTATTATGTTATATTAAATTAAATTAAATCATATTATATTGTATTTTACTTTATTTTATTATATAATATTATATATACAATATTATATATATAATTATATATATATATATTACATTGTATATATATATATTATAGTATATATATTATATAAATTGTTTAATATTCACCTTTAGTAGCAATTGGCCCCCCCGCAATGATCACTAGCCCAGGGGTTTAAGCAAGCTCCAGGGTTTTTCGATGAATTGGGATGAACATCCCAAGCAGACCACCATGGGCATCCTCTTACCAAAGCTTTTGGACATTTGGCCGGGGACGCTTGGAAGCACTAAAGCTGTGCCAGTTTAGCTGGCTTTGGGATGACCAGAGCGGTGAAGAGTTGAACTGAGAAGATCAAGAACTGCTTGGACTGGTGGGTTTTCCAATCCAACCCATAATATGATATACTATTATATTATATTATAATATGGTACCATTATATATTTCATATTGGTTAACCAGTTTTTTTTTGGATAATGATCCCCTGACAGTTTTTTTTTTGCGGTGGAAAGCACCAAACAGCCATGAAGCGGCCACCAAGTTTCTCTGGCGGCTGAAATTTATGGGTTGAACTTTGGCCACGCATCCGGAGGTTTCTTCTTTCATTGTACCCTCTGGTAATTTAACATAGCTATTGAACATGGCACATAGAAATAGTGGATTTAGCCATTGAAAATGGTGGATCTTTCCATCGTTTTTTGTATGTTTACCAGAGGGTAATAATCACAGCACTTTCGGGTTCCATCTTCAGTTTTGGTGGTGTATTTTGGGGATGTCTATGAACCAAATCAAAAACAGGTGCATAGCACACATGTGAGGATAGGATTCATAGAACTGCCTTGTTCTCATCCCTCAGATGTGAACTTGGGCACGACATCCCACCAGCAGTGGCAAGCCCTGCGGCCCCCAGTTTTCCAATGGCGAGCAAAAGTGACGTGTAGCCCCCCGGAGGACGCGCACGCACAGGAAATCGGACGGAAAAGGATGGAACAGTTGCAAGTGTCCTGAAAGGATTCCGGAAAATCCTAGGATGTTTTACTTTGGATTTGGGTGTATCAGAACTATTCCAGAGAATCCTAAGGTATGGTTCACTGTCCAAACATCGACATCAATAAAGCAAAACTCGTGGGGATTCTATGCTTCCTCAATTTGGATGGCTATGTTTGGATCGCCAGGATAAGCACCAGCAGATAGCCTCGGACTGCCATGGGGACCATTGCAAGAGTCGGACTGGTCCAGATCAAGTACCATGTTTAGCCATAGGAAAATGGAGGTTTATAGCTGGGAAAACCATAGGAAAACCATAGGAACATGGAGGTTTACCCTCTGGTAAACTAACATAACTATGGAAAATCACTATTTTCAATGGGTAAATCCGCTATTTCTATGTGCCATTTTCAACAGCTATGTCATTACCAGAGGGTATGGTAGGTACCTCCAATTTAGATCAATTAGGCACCTCGGCCATTGACAAAAGGTAAGTTCAAAATGCTTTTGGGATCATTTGCGCGCATCGCCGTTGTTGTTTTTCTCAAGCACAAAGCCCCGGTTGAATAGCAGCCGGTGGGTTGTTTGTGGGGAGGCATGTGGGAAGCTGTGACCAACGGCCAGGGTCCCGTGTTTTTGTACGATGCAGGGATCGTCATGTTGACATTGGCAGAAAATACCCCTTGGCAACTGAACATGGCATAGCAACGATGTTTCTTTCCATAAGATTGCTTGAGGGTATGACCATGGATATCCACTTTTTTTTCCCCTCCCCCATGTTTAAAACGAAAAGTCGCGTTAGAATCACCATTCTTGTTGGTAACTCTGGTTCTTTTTGGGTAAACCTACCCTCTGGGTATTTAGCAGTTTGCTATGGAAAATGGTCCATTTATGGATGAATTACCATGAATTACCTATATTTACCTACAAAAATCACAAAGGTGTCTTTTGTGTTGCAAAACCCAAAAACTCTTCGGCAACGCAGCGAAAGCGTGAGTAAGTTTTAGGCAACAATTTAGATGAGGAATCAGCAGCCGGGTGAGTTTATGGGGACTGCTTAAAGGCTGGTTTACGACTAGCTGGTCCCAACAGATTATTAGAGTAGTGACTCTTACCAGCTAAATGGTCATTACTCATTAGGCTGGCTGGTAAATGGACCATTATAATCTTATAATTTAGGAGTCAGATTATAAATGATCATTAGCATATCATGCGCCAACATATCATGAATATGGCTGATTTGGTAATTGGCTGAATTAACATGAATTAACCACATAAAAAATGATAATTCGCCTTTTTTAGCCAATTATCATATTTTCTTAGCCAATCCTTAACCAATAATATCCAATAATTATCATTAGCCCATTGGTAATCCCCATAAAAAACCTATGGATCCGTGGAGATCAGGGTCATGGCGAAGCTGCTGGAGGTGCCAGCTGAATGTGCTGGATGTGGCGAGTCGTGAGGGATTTTACCCATGGATTTTTCGTGTTTTTTAACTGATCAAATTATGGGATTCAAAGAAGATATAATATACATGTGAAATTATATATATAATACATATATAAAGATATGATAGATATCTTTTGTTTTTGGAGGCCAGCTTTGGTAACTAAATCAGTTTTCAACAGAAACTCAACCGATGGGCATCCGTCCCGCCGCAGTTTGCGTCCATGCCCGTGCCGCCACGGCACGTGCGGCTCACGCCGCGGGAGACGAAAGTCTCGCGGGGCACGGAGGAAGAGAGACTTGGTGAAACTCCTGGAACTTGATGGATTTTTCCATGGGTTTTTGGGAAATGTCCGGGAATTTATGTGGATTTTATATGGACTCTATAGAATATATGGCAGTTTCATGGAACTTCGAATGGGAATTTATACAGATCACTTGGTAAGATTCATGAGGACCCCACTATAAACGCCCATGTTCGAAACCCCAAAAACCGTATGGATGGATGGGAAGATTGTGGGAAGGTTCCCATCAGCCATGTATTGTTTCTCGTTTTGTTTTGGCCTCCTCCATGTCCAAAGTAAGAAGGGTTTTTCTCCGCAGATTGGGGTTAAAAATGTTTGAAACCAAACCCAAAAGTGGATTACCCTCTGGTAATTTAACGTAGCTATTGAAAATGACCATTTATAGTGGATTTTTCCATTAAAAATGGTGATTTTCCATAGTTATGTGGCAGTTTACCAGAGGGTAACAGGAATTTTGCGGTGACAACCAGCGACAGGGCGATTGAAACCTGCAAAGCTGGTGGGATAACCCGAAAATGATCAGGTTATTTCATACAAATAGGGGAGAAAAACTGTAACCAAAGATGGGAGGCATGGGGGGGTTGGAAGGCCAAGAATCTAGAATCTGGTCCTTCAACTGGTAGAAAAAGGGGTTGAAGCAACACAAATGGGAAAGAGTGTGGCCCAACAAAACGCGTGGTTGTAAGCAACAACATGGTGCAAGCTGCACACATCAAACATGGTGTTTTCGGACCACGGGAGAAGAACATAGATTTAACCAACAAACACAATCTGGTTGGTGGTTTGGAACATGACTTGTATTTTTCCATTTTTTCCATATATTGGGAATTCATGATCCCAACTGACGAAGTCCATCATTTTTCAGAGGGGTAGGTGGCTCAACCACCAACCAGCAATGATACACCACTCGTGATACTAACGCTACACTAAATTGGCTTCTGGAGGTCGCATCTTGATCCATATCCTGAGGAACAGCTGGACCAAAAGACAAAGACATTGGAGGAACATCAAGGTCGACTGTCCCGGAGACGACTGGGTTTTTGCGCATTTTTGATGGGTGACTGGGAGACGACTTTTTTAGACCCTGGAAAAGATGTGGCCGCAAGATGAAGAATGTTTAGGCAATGGGCAAAGTCTCATTTATAGGTGATTTCCAAGCTAGCCACGGATTACGGAAAGGTGATGGGAATGGCACTCCGAGAAGAACTGTGCCCACTGCTGCTTTCCACGTGTTTCCACCTATTCTCCGTGTGGTATCTTCTGCGGTGATCCTCGGTTTTTCCAGTATCATGATGATGGTGAGGACGAACGGCATCAGACATGTGTGACCAATTTCACATTTGGGTTGAATCATGCAAATTCCGTTTCCTCAAATGCTTCTGTCCAACAAATATCGCTCCTGAAGACTAGCCCTTTAACCGCTCAAAACTTACGACTTTGCTGCCCTTCAACCATCTTGAACCTGGTAAAAGGATAGCTATCCAACAAAAAAAAGTTCCAGTGGGCTTGCTAACGGGAAATATCTATAGGGGGCCCCAAAAAGATAGAAGAGTTTCCAGGATGTTGTAAATGATGATTTCCCCATCATTTCACACAATTTTTATCTATTGTGGAATTGCTTTCAGGAATAACAACGATAGAATCTGTGCTTGATCACCATTTTAGTAGGGATTTTATAGCTGTTTTGGAATAGACATATTACATCATATTACATCATATTACTATGAATGGTGATAATGGAATTTTTGAATGGAATAATAATGGGATAGTAATGGATACCCTCTGGTAATTTAACATAACTATGGAAAGATCCACCATTTTCAATGGGAAAATCCACTATTTTAATGGGTGATTTTCAATAGCAAACTGTTGACATAACCAGAGGGTAAACCCCCATTTTCCTATGGTTTTCCCATGGTTTTCCCATGGTTTTCCTGTTTCATCAGCTCCATGGCCGGAAAAACGGTCACCATTTCGTTCGAGGCCCAGCTGGCTGCCAAGGCGGCGGAGAAGCAAGCGCAGCAGCGGGAGAAGCCGCTGACGTGCCTTGGGAAGCCAGCCCAGGTGGTATACACAGATAAGGACGGATGAGGTATCTATAACATAGGTATATATAACAATAGGTATATATATGAGGTATATAACTAGAATACACATAACATAGCTATATATTATTATATATCCATATCTCTGAGACTCTATATTACTATATCTACATGAGTCTACACATCTGTTACCATGGTTATATCCAGAACTTCGTCACCTTTGACCCCCCGGACCCGTGCAAGTCTCGGCCTGGCTAGGCTGATTGGTGGAGGAGAGAAGCCCCACCTGCCGCCTCTGCCCAAGTCCCTGCAGCACGCGCAGATCCCGGCGAAGGTGGGGTAGTCCAGAAAGTTGGGGGACATCCCCTGAAATATCACCACTTTTTGTTGAACTTAAATCACATAAAAACCCCCAAACTATCCAACAGTTTATCCCCAAAAAATATCTGAAAATAAATTGAAAGTTACAATCTTATTGGGGGAACACTCATGATGAATACTGGAGGCTATTTAGATTATTTGGGAAGTGTTCATGCGCATGCCGACATTTGCATAGTCCTGCCTGTGCTGGATATCGGAACATCACACCTATTGAAGGCGAAAGGCGATCTAATTCAAAACCAGTAAAACCTACGAGTGAGGTGAAATTCTGAAAGGCATGGTGCACCCCTGAATTAATGGACAGAACAACATGTCGAAGCAAAGATACACACATACACACACCATGTGTCTATGTGCATATACACTATGTATTGAACGTGCTTTGCCTGAATGCCCTCTGGTGATTTAATATAGACATGTAAAATCCATGAGCATCACCATTGTTTATAGGTAAATGATCTATCAATGGGCCATGGCTTCCACAGCTATGTTAAATAAATTACCAGCTGGTATTTATCTTACTGGTGCTCAGTAGGGAATGAGGGAATGATCCACAATAACCATTAATAATAATGCCAGCAACCCCCATTCACATCCATTCCCTACGTAAAACGCACCAGTAAGAAAAACAGTATATTAATTAATCAATGATTAACCATCATTAACCACTATTAACCATTATTAACCATCAACAGTAAGTTATTTCCAGTATTCCTGGTGCGGCAGCACCTGCAACGCAACTTCCGGAGAGTTTTTCCAACGCCGTTTCCGTTTCGATGGGCCGCCGCGGGAGGATGTGGAACAGATCCAGTCCACCTACCACTGGAGGCACCATCTCCTAGAGATCCAACGGACGGGACGAGATGGTGGTTATGATCATGATGATCCTTATTACCCTCTGGTAAACTAACATAGCTATTGAAAATGGCAATCTATAGTGAGTTTTCCCACAAAAAATGGTGATTTTCCATAGTTATGTTAGTTTACCAGAGGGTACCCTCTGGTAAACATACAAAAAACGATGGAAAGATCCGCCATGCTATGTAGCTGGGTAAATCAACTATTTCGACTGGGCCATTTTCAATAGCTTTTTGTTGGTTTACCAGAGGGTATGATGCTTATTATATTAGTATTGCGACGATTATGATTAGCATTCATTGTTTTGATGAGGAGGATGATGATGGCGATGGTGGTGGCGGTAACATGTCGGGCATTGCCGGCAATATTCGTTGGTCCCCAAATTGTCATGTGCCAATGACTTGTCGAATGTTTACAGGCCTGCATCCAAAAGTGAGGAGATGGCATGACTCTTTGACTATACAACTATGCCAACTGCATCTAAATATATATATATATATAAATATCTTAACAAACAATCCTTCACAAACAGCACCGTTTCTGAAGGCAGATTAGGCTTACGACAACAGCGGCCTCATTTATTTTCCACTTGGATCATTTGGAGTTTTTTTCACCGGTCAGACGTCATAATTACCCAACCTGGTAAACATACAAAAAACGATGGAAAGATCCACCATTTTGTAGCTGGGAAAACTCACTATTTCTATGGCCATGTTCAATAGCTATGTTAGTCATTACCAGAGGGTATCATGTCGGTCCAAGGATTTTTTTCGTGAAACAAATCGGAGCGACCAGTCACCAAAACTGTGACTGGTAGGACGACTGTAACCTTTACATAGTTGCTCTGCAACCTTCACTGTAGTTTAACTATACCTGGAACAAGTTTATCTCAGTTTCTCTAGGAGTTTATTTTCATCCAACTGATTACCCTCTGGTAATTTAACACACTATAAAATCACACTTTTTAGATCTTTTTAGTAGGTAAGTCTGTAAGTCTTTGAACTAAATGGGCCATGGCTTCCATAGAACAGTTTACTGGAGGGTATAGTTCCAGTTCTACCCATTTGGTAAATGCAAATTTTGATTTCCCCATTAAATACCTTCATTTATAGCGGATTTTCAATTGCCACGTTGCCAGAGGGAAAATCCCATTAATATCCTATTGTTATCCTGTTATTATCCTATTATTATTCCAATAAATATCAAGAAATATCATATAAAACAGTTCAGCTATTGTTATCCCATGTTATCCCAATAACCCATTAATATCCTATTATTATCCCAGTTGTCTGTTTACAGTGGTTTAACAGCTCAGGCCTTGCCAGCTCAGTGAGCACGTCTACGCTGCGGACCTGCCCGGCAGAAGCCTGGGGACTTACGTGCGGCTGCCAAACGTTTCGGTATGGCGCCGGGGTTTGGCCGGAGATTTTTCCCAAAAGTTTGGAAAACATCCGGCCAAGGTTAGGTTTTCTCAAAGATTGTTTCATTGTTGTTTCTTATGACCCTGAATTTTGGGAATTTTCTCACTTGGGTTTTGGGGACTTATGAACCAAAGTTCCGTAAACACCGACATTTTTCCAGCGCATAACTTGTCCGAAAGAATGGCAGCATTTTGCCCGAAAACCCGGAACATGTGGCATCGCAACACGTAGAACTTTGGATTTCTTCGACATGGAGGTTCGCCGTAGCCCTAGGACCACAATCATCTTCCACTTCACTGTTCATTTTGGGAGCAGGAGATGCATCATCAGTATTCATGTCCCAACCGTGTAGTTGGCCATGATAAAAATCATTGGGTAAGAGATGGTAAGAGTCAAAAGTTCAGGGCCCAAACCATCACATTGCGGTCATTTTGGTAATCCGTCCCTGTGTCTGGGTGAGTTTTCCGGCAACAAAGACCTCAAGGGACGATTTTTCTCCAAAGGGCTGACAACAAGAACCACTTCATAGTTGGCGAATATCCTGAACATGTCCCAGGCAATTCCCAGATCTCCATTCTGGGTGAAGTATGTTAGGTCCGGGAGTCCTTTCAATCCCTTTTGTGAGTCCTTTCGATTCATCCAAAAGACGGCCAGCTTTCTGTTTTTTTCGTTTCCCAGACTTGGAAGGAAAGATTGGAACCAGGAACCAGTTTTCAACCAGGCCATTAAACAGTTCAGTCACTTAAGTCTGGCCATTGCTCACCAAGACCAAGATTTATCCCGGTATCTCAAGAGAATATCCAGAAATTAGAATGACGTAAATATCTCTAGTAATCAAGAACTGGTTGGTGGTTTGGAATATCATTAACCATTATTATATAACCACTACTCACCACTATTAACCACCAACCCCATGATCTGCCTTCAGAACATGTCTGGCGTGCAGGTGAACACCTTGAGCTACGACCTCGGGAAGGAGACCCTGCAGGCGCCCTGGGTTCAGACCGAAACGATCCGAAACGGGGCAGAAACGGGACAAAAATACGGCCCATTTTTGCCGAGAAAATGGGCAGTTGGTAAAATGGGAGGGGTAAAAATCGAGGCAAACATATGGGGACTGCGACCACAACTTGGAGCTTTCGCCCCACGGGAAATGAGGGTTTTTTGTGCGCCAAAGCTGGGGATGTTCTGTTTGAACTCAGCAGGCCCTCATAGCCACTTTTGTGAAGTTCGCATGGCTTGCTTCAACTTCCGCAGTTGTAGACGATCGAGTTAATTGATGCCGGCTTTCGTGCTCTGGGCATGGATTAGTGTTGATGACTGATCGAGGTGCTGATTTTGTATGTCTTGGATGTTTCTTTCATATGGGTTTCAAAGCTGGAAACGGGTGGTCACGCAAAAAATGAAATGCCAGACATGTTGTATTCATGAAGGCTTGCCTAATAGAAACAATCACACTGGACTGGCAAAGTTGCACCCTAACTGCCCACCTCAACAGCTGTACAATACACTCTGGTAATCCAATGTGCCATTATATACATAATAATAATAAGAAGAATAACACTAATAATATTAATATATATAAATTTCACGTATTTGCCACATTAGCTATGCTGTAAAATGGGAATATCCAGGAACAAAATGGATACTTATGTTGGTGGGCTTCCTTCTATGTTGGAAACCTTGAGTGCTGTCAAATGATAGCTATGTTAGTGGCCTCCTGTTCAAACTTTTCTTACTTGTTTATATATTGTTGATTCTGTCCAATAGCTAGTGGTCTACGCCTACGCAAAATGATAGTCTGGCAGCTCATTTTGAGAGCTACTTTAGCATTGCCAAATTCGAGAAACAACAGCGACGTTAGATTACCGGAGAGTATCAGGAGAGCTGAGATTTTCTGATGCATATTGCTTGCCCCACTCCGCTGACGTTTGGCTCCTTTGTGGTAGCTCGAAGAACCGGGGCCCGAGACGATCGAAGAGCGAGATGTGTCTTACAGATTCCACCCCAGTACCTGTTACCACAGAATAATTTCAGGTGTAATTAGGTGTACCCTCTGGTTATGTCAAAATAGCTATTGAAAATGGCCATTTATAGTGGATTTTCCCATTAAACATGGTGATTTTCCATAGTTATGTTAGTTTACCAGAGGGTATATCAAGCCAGCCTCATGAGGTATTACGATTCCAGAGAACCATTGCTGTACGCGGGGTTTGAATGCCAGAGTTGCAGTGAATACCAGAGAAGTTGTGCACGCTGACAAATAGCATCAGCAAAATTCGCAAGGCATTCATGGTGGGCTATGCTTGCGGTGGTTCATCCATCATCGCAAGTGATTTTTAGCAACCGTGATTGGATTCGTCCCCGATTCCTAGGCCCACTTGGGGAAACTAACCCCACTTTTTTTAGCAGTGACGAAAACGCCAATTTTCCGATATCTTCAGGTGAACCAAAGCACGCAACGCACGGTGGTCAGTGAGTTAAAACCACTCCAGTTTTCGACATGAAATCCTGGTAACACCCCCAAATGTTTGGGTGATTTGTCACAATTTGTCCATCCAAAATCATCCAATATGCTGGGTGATCTTCCCGTTCCCATGCTGCTGCTTTCACTTCTGGTTTACGCCTCTGCTCTGGAGCGGGTGGCACCTGGGATGCAGATGGATGCAGGAGAAAAGATATGGAGTTTTCATGGGTTTTTTTCAGGAAAACTTTGAGTTTTTGGGTCATGTTTTTTGAGTAAGCTTGAAAACCATGGATTTTTAAGTTCTTTGGCTTGAACATTCTGGTATGAGCCAAGCAAGCTTGTTGCCAGAGCTGACAGATGGATCTTTGTATGAAAAACATCAGTGGTTAAACAGGTTCACTAGGACATGAAGCATCCTGATACGAGGTTGACAGGTTGACGGGAATTTCATTGGGATACCGTGAAACCTTTTTTATAGAATGGATCTGTCATGACTTGGCACAGTGGGGCGCTAGCATTTCCTAGCTACACCTCAGCCCCAGTTATATATTTTTTTGGTTGCATATATAGATATACCTACAATATATGTGTAGTCTTTTCATTTGTGAATATTCTGCATTCCTCCGAAGATGTCCTATTTCCCTGTCATCCCATGCAAACAAATCAGGCTATGATGAAGTATAGTAACCCCAAGCAAGGATAGAAAAGCATAATTTACTGCTGTCATTTTAGTATATTCTAGTGATAGTAGGATTATTTCCCTTTTAAATCGTTTTGGGGACGCTTTAGCCCAATTTCCCAACTGACTGTGGAGTTCCTTCTCAACCCGGCAATCGCCTAAAAAGGTAGGTTAAGCGCGTGACAGTAATCCACATCCAAAACAGGATAAAACCACAATTTACCACTATTTTACTGGGTTTTCTTAGGTTTTCTTCAATTTTCCCGTGGTTTTTTAGGGCTGGCTGGCTAAACGGGGGTGGATATCGCCCGGCCGGATTCCGTCGCGTGAAACACGCGGACTAGGTGTTGGTCAGCAGACACGGCGAACGGCAGCGGCTGGTGAAGGATGCCTTGACGCAGGAGGAGGAGGTTCAATGGAATCCATGGCGGATGATTTTCCACGAGTTGTAGCTGGTTGATAATCAGATTTACTATAGTTATATTCACCCCGCTTCGCGTGGGGTGGCCGCCCACACCGCAGGTTTATTTCGGTCCGTGAGAGGGGCTAAGGGCGGTTTTCCCCCGTGGGGGCTCTTCAAGCTAAGAAGTTTCAATAAGAAATCCTTCCAAAACATTGTTTTTGACAGTGTTTTTCCAATGTTTCCAGTCAAACAGACGGTAATTTACACGTTTTTTGCCATAAAGGCAGTAAATCCTTCCAAAACATTGCTTTTGACAGTGTTTTTGTAATGTTTCCAGTCAAGCATACGGTAATTTACACGTTTTTTGCTATAACGTCAGTCCAAAACACTTGTTTTTGCAGTGTTTTCAATGCTCTGGCATCCAAAAACCCTGCAAAATCTTGCTATGTACAATGTTTTTTTCATTTTTGGCCGTTTTTCCATTGCCGGAAAGCTACCAAAATGACCCAAAATTCCATTTCAATACCCTCTTGCGCTCAGACACCCAAAAATCCTCGAAAAATGTCGAAAACACCACCGTATTCTGGTCTCGGTGCGAAACCGTTTTTGGGGTCTGGTCTCGGTGCGAAACCGTTTTTGGCCCCCCCCCCCCAGCTAAAGCTGATATAGCGACTGCTATATTAACAAATGTCATTGAGCATTTAGTGTTGCTGTTGCCCCCCAATAAGCACGCCTTCACCGCCAAAGCGGTGTGGGCGGATTAAATCAATAGATAGATTTGATATAGATATAGATATAGATATAGAGATAGAGATAGAGATAGATGTAGATATAGATATAGAGATAGATAGATGGATTAGATATAGATTTAGATATAGATGTAGATGTAAATATAGATATAGAGATAGATAGATAGATTTGATATAGGTATAGATATAGATATAGAGATAGAGATAGAGATAGAGATAGATGTAGATATAGATATAGAGATAGATAGATAGATTTGATATAGATATAGATATAGATGTAGATGTAAATATAGATATAGATATAGAGATAGATAGATAGATTAGATATAGATATAGATATAGATGTAGATGTAAATATAGATATAGAGATAGATAGATAGATTTGATATAGATATAGATATAGATATAGAGATAGAGATAGATGTAGATATAGATATAGAGATAGATAGATAGATAGATTTGATATAGATATAGATATAGATGTAGATATAGATATAGATATAGAGATAGATAGATAGATAGATAGATTAGATATAGATATAGATGTAGATGTAGATGTAGGTGTAGATATAGATATAGAGATAGATAGATTAGATATAGATATAGATATAGATGTAAATGTAGATGTAGATGGAGATGTAGATGTGGATGTAGATGTAAACTAGATGTAGATAGATAGATAGATAGACAGATAGATAGATAGACAGATAGATAGATAGACAGATAGATAGATAGATAGACAGGTAGATAGATAGATAGACAGATAGATAGATAGATAGATAGATAGATAGATAGATAGGCAGATAGATAGATAGGCAGATAGATAGATAGACAGATAGATAGATAGATAGACAGATAGATAGATAGATAGATAGGTAGATAGATAGATAGACAGACAGATATATATATATATTGCGAAAGGGAACTAGGTAACACAGCAACTGCACATGCTTAGCATGTAAGCAAATCCGCATGGCTCAAGCCATTTTGGCTCAAGTCATGCGCGAGGAAAAAGACCGTTCTCCGAACGCCATGCAGTGACGTTGCCCTGCACCACCAGCACAACCGGTACTACCATCAAAGGGGATAATCCAGAACAAGGATCAATTTGTTCACAGGTTATCAGCCGTAGGGCTCACTTCTCCCGCCGGGAGAGTGGTACCTGCGTGCTGGTAGCCGGGCCGTCTGAGCAATCGATTGAGGACGCAAAGGACCAATCAGCTCATCGTCGCAAAGATGCAAGGCGGCAGCGGAGATTCGCGCACCACGCAGTTTACCTTCAATGAGAACGCTGCTATGCCGGTCGAGGAGGTCAATCAATCTTCCCCTGGTGACACGGCAGACAGTGGCGGGATACGCTCTACCCGAACTACACAGTCCGGATGGCAAGTCACATCAAATAGACGAAGAATATCCACCCAAAGTACACCTAGATCTTCTCGAAACAGTGCTCGAAGTGATGTTGTCCGCCAAGGGCACCGACCATCTCGAGGACGTACTACTCCAAGGGACAGATCCACCAGGGCCGTGACCGACCGAATTGGTGAGAGGACCGGGGATAGTCGTGTTAAGAGGAGATCAACGGATACTTCTGTGGCTAGTGAACCTATTGCCATGATAGAGGAACTACGGGCACAATGTCAATCCCTACGTAATCAGCTGAACAACATGAAAGCATACGCTGCGTCTA